AAGGCAGACGCTTAAGGACTGAGCCACCCAGGCGCCCCAACCCAGCCATTCTGGTCCTTGAGTCTGAGCTCTTCCAATGCAGTATCCAAGTCCGTGAGTCCATCCATCCATCCATCTATCCATCCATCCATCTATCCATCCATCCATCCATCCATCTTTCCATCCATCCCTCTTATCTATCCATCCATCCATCCATCCCTTCCATCCATCCATCCATCCATCCACCCATCTACTTATTCATCCATACTTTCCTCTGTGTATCCATCCATCCATCCATCCATCCACCCACCCATCCATCCATCCCTCCCTCCCTCCCTCTATTCATCCATCCATCCCTCTATCCATCCATCCACCTAGTCATCCATCCATCCATCCCTTCCATCCATCTATCCATCCATCCATCCATCCACCCATCTACTTATTCATCCATACTTTCCTCTGTGTATCCATCCATCCATCCCTTCCTCCCTCCCTCCCTCTATTCATCCATCCATCCCTCTATCCATCCGTCCACCTAGTCATCCATTCATCCATCCCTTCCATCCATCCATCCATCCACCAATTCATTCTTTCTCCCCCTTTCAACAATATTAATTGAATGTCTACATGCAGCCAGACACCGAGACTAGCACACGAGGATAGGATATGTGTCTTTTTCTCAGAGCAGTGCTGTTTAGAAACACAAGGAAATGGGGAAGGAAGGGACAGATCTAAGATCAAGACACTGATTGCCATTGTACATGGAGGTGGAAGCTGTCATACCTTCAAGAATCAGAACCCAAATACTTGAAATATACTTCATTACTCTCTACCTCCCCGTCCCTTAGGATATCAAGGGAGAAAGAGAAAGGCCCTACTGGGACACCTGGGTGGCTCAGTCAGTTAAGCATCTGCTTTCGGCTCGGATCATGATCTCAGGGTCCTGGGATCAAGCCCCGCATTGAGCTCTCAGCGGGGAGTCTGCTTCTCCCTCTCCCTTTTCCTCTGCCTCTCCCCCCTACTCTTGCTCTCTCTCTCTCTCTCTCAAATAAAGAAATAAAATCTTTAAAAAAAAAAGGTCCCATCAACAAATAAAGGTCACAGGGCCGGCAGACTTGAACCTGAATGTTGACCTTGGACGTGCAGCCTTGCAGGACCAGCAGTGTGCTTGAGGGATGCAGTCCTTTCAGCCCTTCCCAGCAGTCAGACTCAAGGGATGGGACTTGTGCAGTAGCACAGGACCCTATTCTCCAAAGGGCCCACACTTGGCTTAATCCTTTGCTGTCGCCATCTTGAAATTCTTCATGTATCTTGGACAAGGAAGCCCCAGTCTTCATTTTGCACTGGGCAAGTTCTGTAGCTGTAGCTTGTCGAATGGTAGGTCTCCCTCCTGGAATCGCTGGGTTATATGGTGATTCTATGGACTATTCTGTTTTGTGTGAGGAACTGCCAAGCTGTTTTCTGTTTTATGTGCTCACCCGCAATGTGCAAGGGCCCCGGTTTCTCCAGATCCTCATCAACACTGCTATTTTCCGTTGCTCAAAGTTCTACTGTCTAGTGGGTGTGAGGTGGCATCTCATTGTGGTTTTGCTCTGCATTTCCCTGACGACTAATGACTAATGGGCATCTTTTCATGTGCTTGTTAGTCATTCATATATCTTTGGAGTAGTGTCTGTTCATATCTTGTGCCTGTTTTTAAATGGGGTTGTTTGTCTTTTTGTTGTTGAGTTGTGAGAGCTCTTTATATATTCTGGATAAAAGACCCTTATCAGACCTATGATTTGCAAATAGTTTCTCCCATTTTGTAGTTGTAGTTGTGGTTGTCTTTTCACTTTCTTGTTGGTCTCCTTGGATGCACAACAGGCTTTAATTCTGATGAAGCCCAATTTATCTGGTTTTTTTTTCTTCCATAGCTGTGGCTTTGGTGTCATGTAGAATCCATCGCCAAATACAGGAAATGTCTTTTCTAGGCGTTTTATCATGTTAGCTCTTACATTTAGGTTTCCTACTTATTGTGAGCTAACTTTTTTATATGTTGTCAGGGAGGGATCAAAATTCATTCTTTTGCATGTGGATATCCAATTGTCCCCGCACCACTTGTTGAAGAGACTCTTTCCCCCATTGAATGGTCTTGGCTCCCCTGTTGAAAACCTCATGACATACAGTTTCTTTCTAGACTCTCGATTCTATTCCATTGATTTATATGTCTAGCCTTCTGCTAGCACCCCGCTGTCCTGATTACTGGAGCATTGCAAGTTTCAAAATTGGGGAGGATGAGCCCTCCAACTTTGTTTTTCCTTTTCCAAGGTGGCTTTGGGTAGGCGGGGTCCCTTGCAATTCCATATGAATTTAGGATCAGCTTTTCCATTTCAGCAAAATGAAGTCATTGGGATTTTGATGGGGGTTGCATTGAAACTGGAAATTGCTTTGGCGACTACTGCCATTCTAACTGTTAAATCTTCTGACCCATGTACACAGAGGGTCTTTCCATTGCTGTACGTCTTCTTTAATTTTTTTGCAGTGATGCTTTGTAGTTTTCAGTATTCAACTCTTGCACCTCTTTGGTTAAACTTATTCCTAAGCATTTAATTTTTTGGACGCTATTATAAGCAGAATTTTTTAAAGTTTCCTTTTCGCTTGCTCACTGACAGGATACAGGAATACAGCTGATATATTTTTGGGTTGGTCTTATATTCTGCAATTATATTGACCTCACTTATTAATTAGCTCTAAAAGTTTTTGTTTTGTGGATTCCTTTTTTTTTTTTTTAAGATACTATTTTTAAGTGATCTCTACACTCACGTGGGGCTTGAACTCACAACCCCGAGATCAAGAGTTGCATGCTCCACCAACTAAGCCAGCCAGGTTCCCCTTTGTGTTGTGTGTTCTTTAGGATATGTTACACATCAGGTCGCATGGTTGTTGTAAGTTTTTGCCTGGATTCCAGAGTTCTGCAAAAGTTGATTTTGTCAGTTTTTTTTTTTAATTTTTTTTTAAATTTTTTATTCACATATAATGTATTATTTGTTTCAGGGGTAGATTTTGTCAGTTTTTGCCAGCTGATTAGTTTTTGTAGGAATGGAGGCTGGCCATCCTTACTCTGCCCTCTTTGGGGATGCCACTCCCAGCATGCTAATATTCTGCTGCCCGCTTTTGCATGGCCCACTAGCTACGAATGCTTTTTACATTTTTTAAATGGTTGAAAAAATTCAAAAGAAGAAGAATATTTTCTGTTATGTGAAAAAGACATGAAATTCACATTTCAGGTTCCATAAATCAAGTGTTATTGGAGCACAGGCACGCTGATTTCTTTTTTTTTTTTTTTTAAGATTTTATTTCTTTATTTGAGAGAGAGAGTGCACGGAGGGGCGGGGGGCAGAGCAGAGGGAGGGGGAGAAGCAGGCTCCCTGGTGAGCAGAGAGCCCGATGCGGGGCTCGATCCCAGGACCCTGGATCAGGACCTGAGCCAAAGACAGACACTTAACCGACTGAGCCACCCAGGCGTGAGGTGCTGATTTCTTTACCTATTGTCTGTGGCTTCTCTCACACCACAGGGGCAGAGTGAATAGGTGTCAGAGACCACTGTTTGGCTTGCAAAACAAAAAAGTATACTATCTGACCTTTATAGAAAAAGTTTGTTGCTCCTGGACTAGAAAACTGATTAGACTGAGAGTCTCCTTTTTTTCCAAAAATACTTGATGCATGGGGCGCCTGCTTCTGTCACCTCACATTAGGTAGCCCACGGCTGTCCAACTCTTGGTGATAATGTAATTGACTCATGGGGCTCAGGTCATATTTTTTTCTTAATAGCTTAATAGAGGGGAGATCACAGTAAACTTTTTTTCCCCCCCACTTAATGCCATGTTAGATCTTTCCATGTCACTAAGATGCCTGCACTTTTTAAGCTAATTTTGAAACCAAGCTCAAGCCCATAATGAAGTGGCTCCACCAGATCCAGATCCGGGGTGGGGAGTTACCCAGACAGCTCCTGGAAGCTGCCCCTCCCTCCCCTGCAGACATCGACGAATGCTCTGCACACTCGGGCATCTGCGGCCCTGGTACCTGCTACAACACCCTGGGGAACTACACCTGTGTCTGCCCCGCGGAGTACCTGCAAATCAACGGTGGCAACAACTGCATGGGTACAAAGTGTGATGATTGGGGAGACAGTTGTGGGAAAAGCACTCGGGTGTGGGAGGGACTTCTCGGAGTCTCCATGCTTTGGAAGAGTGTGGCAAGGTGTGTTTAGGGGGGTAGAGAGAGGGAGAGGGAGTGTATGAGTTGCTGGTCAGCAGCAGAGAACAAGATGTGAGATTTGGGGGCCCAGGGCTGTCATGTATGGTTGTTCAGGTTGCACACTGTCCAAAAAAAAACTAGAATTAAATGGCACCCCCTGTGTCTTGGGGCAGAGACATCAAGCCAGTCATTTTCAAATGGATCCATGAATGAGTTCCCATTCCATCTGGCTCTCTCTTCCTCTGGCTCGGTTATCTTTTATCCACACTCCTCTTCCTAACCCAACTGCAGACATGAGGAAGAGCATCTGCTTCCGGCACTATAATGGTACATGTGGAAATGAGCTGGCGTTTAACGTGACCCGGAAGATGTGCTGTTGCTCGTACAACATTGGCCAGGCCTGGAACAGACCCTGTGAGGCCTGCCCCACCCCTGCCAGCTGTGAGTGCCCTCCCCCACCTTCTTTCCAGCTTGGTCCTTCCTAGTGCAATATTTAAGGAGGCACACCTTGCTTAGGGCACCCAGATTAGCTCTCATCCTACATTGTTCCGATGAGGGCTGAGGAGTTGAAGTTATGTCCTAGTTGAGGTACGGAAATCATCACTCTTAAGGTGGGCAAAGCATCCTTTCTTCTATTTTGCAGATTTGAGGAATTCAGAAGGGGTCAGTGAAGCCTATATTTGTGGTGAAGATCCTTGAGTGGGGGAAGGGGCACACTCGGGGAAGCTCTGGGGAGGACTGCTAAAATGTTGGTTGGGATGAAGAAGGGGGTTCCAGGCAGGGAACAGCATGAGCAAAGGCCTGGAGGTAGCACTGAGCCCCAGACCGTGCTAGCAGCTGGAATGAGAGCTAATGGAATGATGTAGCAGCCAGCCCAGGTATCAGAAAGCGCTGAAAGTGGGCAATGAGGGGGTTACAGTATTAGGGCTGAATGTGTCCCCCCAAATTCACATGTTAAAGCCCTGATCTCCAGTGTGGCGGGGTTAGGAGGTGAAGCCTGGGGGAGGGGATTAGGTCCTGCGGGGGGAGCCCCCCTGAATGGGATGAGCGGACACCTGAGGGAGATGATCTCCCCCACGTGAGGACAGAGCGGGAAAACAGCCGTCTGTGAACCAGGAGGTGGCTCTCACCAGACACCGAATCTGCCGACGCCTTGGTCTTGGGCTCCCAGCCTCTGGAACTGTGAGGAATACATGTCTGTTGCTTCAGCCCCCCAGTCTGTGGTGTTTGGTATAGCAGCCCAAGCTGGCTAAGACAATTTGCTTCCTAGGGCTGCAGTAACAAATGACCACAAACTTGATGGCTTAAAAAACCCAGAAATTAATTTTCTCCCAGTTCTGAAGACTAGAAGTCAGAAGTCAGGTGTTAGAGGGGGCCATGCCCCCTCCAGAGGCCCTAGGTTAGAATCCATCTTTGCTTCTTCCAGCTTCTGGTGGCTCTGGGCATCCTTTGTGTCTGTCGCCAATCTCTGCCTTCATCTTCACGTGGCATCTTATCCCCGAGGCTCTGTGTGTCTCTCCTTTTCTTTTTTCTTTTTTTTTTTTTTAAAGATTTTATTTATTTATTTGAGAGAGAGAGAATGAGAGACAGAGAACATGAGAGGGAGGAGGGTCAGAGGGAGAAGCAGACTCCCTGCCGAGCTGGGAGCCCGATGCGGGACTCGATCCCGGGACTCCAGGATCATGACCTGAGCTGAAGGCAGTCGCTTAACCGACTGAGCCACCCAGGCGCCCCTCTCCTTTTCTTATAAGGACACCAGGCATTGCATTCAGGGCCCACCCTCATCCAGGATGACCTCATCTTATCTTGATTCCACCTGCAAAGACCCTATTTCCCCAAACGGTCACACTCGGAGGTTCTGGGTGGACACGACCTTGGGGGGCGGTGAGTGTCCATCCAGTGCAAGGTGATGGAGACGGGGTGGTTACTGGGCACTTCCGGGAGACAGATGCTGTTCCTAGGGTTCCGGGTTCTAGGAAACAAGATGGGGCAGACCCAAGCTTGTGCAGGCTGGGAGGAAGCTGCAGACCGCCAACTCTGGCCGGGAGAGTGTTGAGACAGATCAAATGTCATCCCTCAGGTCAGATGCTGGGACTTAGGTACCGGCCTGGACTTCGTGCACCTGAAACTGAGGTGCAGGTAGACTCTGATGAGGCAGGAGTCCACGCCAGCCAAGGGTCCATTCTCATCACGATGCAGACAGAAGAGCGAGTGAGGGCCAGGGCAGGCCCCTGGGGAAAGATGGCAAGGGGGCACTGCCCTGCCCCGGTGGGGGTGTGGGGGGGAGCCCAAAGGTGGTGTCTGGTGCGGGTCAGCGGGGAGCCCCAGGGAGCCACCCGTGGGCGGCCCCGAGTCCTCGAGGCTGAAGTGGGCTTTGCTAGGGAACAGCAAAGGGACCAGCATGTGCGAAGTGGTGGCATGGAGAGCAGGGCATTTCCGGACATGTAATGACATCAGGGTGATGGGAGGGCAGGAGTTACTGCTGGAGACGTAGGGCCCGGGGGTGAAGGTCTTGAGGTCCAAACTGAAGAGTCTACCTATTCTGGGGAGGGCAGTGGGGCGCGGGTGGTGGCACTCATGCGGGGAAGAGATGAGCCAGGTCGCATCTCTGCGTCTCTGTGTTGGAAGATCACGCTGCACAGGTGGGTGGTTGCCTGTCGCCCTTCCCCTGCTGCTCAAAGCGGGCATGGGAGGGTGGGGGGGAGAGGGACTAGTTATCGGGAGGCCAGATGTGGGCTGCGCTGCAAGGGTTGGAGGAGGCGGTGGGTGGGGGATCAGGAAGAGGAGGAGGTGTCCTCCCCAGGAGCCTGCAGCCCCAGCACCCTCTGCCCTGTTCTCCTTTGCCCAGTGGACTACCAGATCCTGTGCGGACACCAGGCCCCTGGCTTCGTCATTGACATCCACACAGGGAAGCCCCTCGGTGAGTGACCTTGTGCCCCCGCCCGTAGCCCCAGGTTCCTCTGTCCCCAGACCCCTGACCTCTCCCTTCCATGCACCCCCACCCCATGCTCCCGCACTTCCAACTCCCCAGACCAGGCCAGGAGTCCTGCCACCAAACACTGCCCTTCATTTTAAAAAAAAGTATTTTTATGAAGTTGTTACTCATTTTTTAAAATTCTGATAAAACACACATAACATGAAATTTACCATCTTAGCCATTGTTAAGCGCACAGCTCAGCGGCATGAAGCACACTCACTCGGTCCTGCAGCCACCCCCACCCTCCGTCTCCAGAACTTTCCATCTCCCCACACGGAGACTCTGTCCCCATGAAGCACAGACTCCCCACCCCCTGCCCAGCCCCGGCTCCCACCCTCTCCTCTCTGTCTCTGTGGACGGGACTCCTCTAGGGACCTCCTGGGACTGGGGTCCTGCGGGATGTGTCCTTCTGGGTCTGGCTCTTCTCACTGGGCATGACGATTCCGAGGTTCATCCAAGATGCAGCAGGGGTCAGAACACTTCCGTTCTAAGCTACACAAGGTTCTGTACAACCTAACCCCTGCATGCCACATTTCAGCTGCGTCACGTTGAATTGATGACCCCATCTCCAGCTGTCCTCCTTATTTGAAGCAATCAGAATGTGGCAGACGCGGTGACCGTGTCAAACCAAAGTCCCCTTTACACTCCCACGATTCCCATGCCGCATGCCCCGGGGATTTCTAGATCCTTCTTCATGCATTTCAGTATACATAGAGGTCCCCACTGAAAATGTGTGGCAATGTTTTCTGGGGAGTTGGAGATTTTATAATTCTAGAATTCCCTACATAGTGGTCGGCAACTCACCTTTTTTGCAGCCGGCCACGAGTTGTGGAGCCCTGGGCAGGTTCCTGCATGCAGTGCCACTCCTCTTGACCGGCTTCGTGGCATTCCACGGGTGGACCCATGCTGCGTCATGAGCCCGTCCCCCCTGGGTGGGCACTGGGTTCCCTTTCTGTACAGTTGAGCCTTGAGCAGCGTGAGGGTTAGGGGCACCAAACCCCGTGCAGCCAAAACTCCTCATATAACTCTTGACTCCCCCCAAACTTTTTTTTTTAAATATTTTATTTATTTGACAGAGAGAGAGATAGCGAGAGCAGGAACACAAGCAGGGGGAGTGGGAGAGGGAGAAGCAGGCTTCCCGC